GGAGCCCGGGGCTGCGGGGGGGGAGCCAGTCTGCATGGGGAGCTAGTTTTTAAACCAGCTCCCCATACAGACCGGCTCTCACCTGCCACCCTGCACTGCTGCCTCTGATACAGAGGCAGCACTGTGGGATGGCAGGGATTCCCTGGGAGTGAGGCCAGGACCGCACTGGCTGCTGGCTTTGCCCCAGGGAGCTATTGAATAGTTGTGTAACTGATAATATTTTGTGTGGTTACACAACTATTAATTTACCCACTATCTAACATCCTAACATAAACATTTGGACATAGAAATTGTTTTGTTGTCACAAATAGGACTATTACTTCAGCAAGGGAATAAAGGAAAAGCAGCAGAACCCTTAAGCAACTCAGTTGCTGTTGGTGTACAAATATTCAGAGTAAAAATTGTTACTCAAAATTAAGATATGATAGAGGTCTATAAAATCATGAGTGGTTTGGAGAAAGTGAATAAGGAAAAGTTATTCACTTGTTCCTATAATATAAGAAGTAGGGGCCACCAAATGAAACGAATGGGCAGCAGGTTTAAAACAAATAAAAGGAACTACTTCTTCACACAGCGCATAGTCAATCTGTGGAACTCCTTGCCTGAGGAGGTTGTGAAGGGTAGGACTATAACAGGATTAAAAAGAGAACAAGATACATTCATGGAGGTTAAGTCCATTAATGGCTATTAGCCAGTATGGGTAAGGAATGGTGTTCCTAGCCTGTTTGTCAGAGGGTGGAGATGGATGGCAGGAGAGAGATAGCTTGATCATTACCTGTTCAATTCACTCTCTCTGGGACACCTGGCATTGACCACTGTCGGCAGACAGGGTACTGGGCTGGATGGACCTTTGGTCTGACCCAGTATGGCCATTCTTATGTTCTTAGTATTTAAAAATAAATTATTCCCCAAATTACAGCATACTTACCAAATAGCCAATGGGAGTTGACCGATCATGATTTTAACATCTGGCTGTGTGGTAACACCTGAAAATATATGTATGTGTGTGTTTGTTCAAGAAATCTGCCAAAATAATAATAATAATAATAATACCACCACCGGGCTTTTCATGCCAGGACCTCAATATGCTGTGCAAACATTAATTATTACAATTTACTTGCAAATTACTTCGAACTATTAAATGCTACAAAAAGGGTTTACTTCTGGCATATCCACAATGGTCAATAACGGAGGAGTATGGTCTTTCGGTCAAAGGATGTGTCTAGCATGTATCGTGGTCAGGTACATGCTTCAGTTTGGAGTATATTTCTGAATAATAAGAAAATGCATCCTTATGAGGTGGAGCCCAACTCCTGACTGGTGAAAACCTGCGCTAATTGGCAAGATGCCTGGAGCAGATGCTGTACCTGCTAGCATCCCTCCTTCCACTCATTATGCTCAACAGGGCAAGATTTGGTGTGAACTGTATTTGTCCAAAAATAGGTACTAATTGGTGTCTGTATATGCAGTAATAATATTAAGAATTTTTAGCAAATGTAGTTTGCCAGATTGTGTACATTTTTGGTGGTGACCTTACTACATGAGAGGCAGCCCCCTTTTTCCCCTTCTCCCCCTTTCCTTTCTCTGTTAATGATTTTATCTGGTCATCATGATATCTTGTGCTCTTTAGTAACCCACACACATTCTGGGTGTGGGGTGTAGTTGTACTGTTGCACCTTGTGGCAGTAAGATCACTTACAGAGAGAATGAATCTGCTCTACAGTCTGAGCTGAAAACCCGCAGGGTTTTAGCTCCTGTGGCAGAGGCTCATGCATTAAGCTCTAGATGTCCCAGGTTCGATTCCGCCTGCTGGTGTTACAGTTGCATCTTCTTTGTCTACCTTTCCCCTCTTGTTGAAGACTCCCTGACCAGCAGCTACAAATGAGCAAAGCTCTTCCATTGGAAGCAAAGTTTAAATGTTCCCACCCAGCACTGACAGACACTTCCTGGCACATGACAATGTTTGTTTAATGCTGTTTCACAGGTGACTTGACACCAGTGTGGTGTAGCTCATGCTGACTCACAGTGATGGTTTCTGCAGTAGGCATATATGGTTGCCTAGCTAAGCTTCTCATAAGACAGGTAATAATCATTCCTGGTTATTTTAAGCCCTGCTGGCTCCGTAACCTCATAACTTTGTGTGTAAAATCCCTCCTGTTCTCTCTTGGTGCCGTGTTAGATCTTCTCTCCCCAGTGGAAGCTTTTCCAGCCCTTGAGCATCATCAGTGGTGGTATGTTAGCTATTTTTTCTCCAGGAAGAAGGGAAGGTATTTTCCAGCCAGGTATTTTATTTTGCTTCCTTCATAAGGAGGCCCCCTTAAAGGCTGTTCTGCGTACCTGAGAGTGTTGTGCTCCTGCAATGCTGCTCCTGCTTTCCAGCTTTCTCTCTTAACCTGTCCAGCATTCCTTCCCTTTATAAAACAGGCTCTAGCAGGGTTGCCAGATGGTTGAAACAAAAATACCTAATACCCCGTCCCCCCCTCAAAAAAAACCCACAGGGAAAAAATTCAAAAAAAAGGGGGAGACCAAAGTGGTTGAGAAAAAAAAAAAAAAAGGACTCCAAGACTTAAGTAATAATAATAATTAATAATAATAACAAAAATAAAACAGCATGTCCCCTTTAAGAGTGAGTGCAGGGATAGAAACAGGGGAGTGGTTGAGCACTAAGACCTAGGGGAATCATTGCTTCCCCTTGATCTTTTTGCCGGCAGCCATTTTGTGACGGCAGCCTTGCGGAAACAGGTAAGCATGGGGTTAGGGAGCTGGAGTTGTTGGCTGCTGGGGAGTTTGGGGGTGGGGGAAAGCCGGGTGCTGAGTGTTTGTAGGGTTGCTAGGTGTCTGGCATTTTCGCCTCCTGGCCAGGGAAGAAAAATCAGAAAATACTGGACATCTTAGGTGTCCGGCATTTTCTGAATTTTTTTTTACCAGACAGGAGGTGAAAATATCAGACTGTCCGGGTGAATACCGGACACCTGGCAACCCTAGGCTCTAATGTCCAAGGCTGCATGTGTGAGTTACTGCTGAGTACTTAGGGCCTGGGCCTGCTTGGTGCTGAATGCCTTCTGTGAGGTACTGAGCTCCCTTGGGTCTCACTGAGGTTGATGAGAATTGTGGGTGCTCTGTGCCAGGCAGAAGATGTTCACTGCCTTTGCAGGACAGGCCCTTAATGACTAACATGTTTGCTTACAGTCTTTGTGCTGTTATCTAGTATCCAAGTTACTGCTCTGAGATATCTCCACTTTGAAAAGAGCTGTGTAACATGGTGTGTAATACTCAAACACTTAAATTAAATTAATGGAGATTGTCTGTCTCCTAGAACTGGAAGGGACCTTGAAAGGTCATGGAGTCCAGTCCCCTGCCTTCACAGCAGGACCAAGTACGGTCCCTGATAAATTTTTGCCCCAAATCCCTAAATGGCCTCCGCAAGGATTGAACACAACCCTGGGTTTAGCAGGCCAATGCTCAAACCACTGAGCTATCCCTCCCTCAGTAGCTTTTCTATTCCTCTTCATGTCTGTCTTTGTCTCAATGTTTCTCTAGCAAACACTCATACTCTTGTGTTGTGTGTGTCACAAAAATCTTTGGTTTTTTTTATATGGCATTTGTCTCTTTTCCAATTCCATGGAGGAAGTTAGAGGGACTACAGACTTGTAAGGCGCTAATTAGTAAAAGCGTATGGTGGGTCTTAATCACACTGATCAGTAAAACATAGTGAGGCATAATTCTGTCCTTTACATTATTATACCTTTAAAACAGAGAAGAATGTGTCCTGTCTGAGATCCCTGTTCTACCACCCAAAATAGTAAGTCAAAGAAAATCATCTCACCCCACAATTTACCATGTAAAATTAAAATATCATTTTCATTTTAGATTATTAAAAGGAAGTATGGGGCAAAGGGTAAATCCCTTGCAATCATTAGCTAGTTTGCAGATGGGACAAACAAATACCAGTTGCATAAAAATAACTCACTTCCTCTTCAGAAGCCTTTCCTGGATTTACTTTAATTTCTCATGATTGCTGAAGTTCATTTGTCCTAGGTTGTAAGTGACCACTTGTATTAATTACTTGTATCTGGTAGTGTCTAGGTGTCAGGGCCCCTTTGAGCTAAGCGCCACATACTTCTCTAAAATGCAGACCCTTTCTTAAAGAGTTTTACAGCTTAACCATATGACCAGAGGCAATAGATAGTTCCAGCCAACAGCTGAGGGGAAAGACAAGCTAAGAGCATGCGAATCATATTTGATTCAGAGAGTAACAGTCACATCATGTCCACTGCTTCCCCATTTTAATATCCTTTGTTCCCTTGGTTATTGTTTCTAATACTGCATAACACTGTAATATCACTACTTTGTCAATTATTACTTAAGTGTGCAGAAGATGGACAGTTGGTCATTCTAGCCAAGGGTGATCACATTGCTGGGATTCTGTACCACTAAGTGACATCACTGGAATGCACAGACAAAGCCAGCTCAGAGCTGAATTGGCAGCTGAGTCTGGTGTGCCAGCATATCCTGTTTGGCCAGCATTACTAGTGTCTGACCTCATCCACCAATCCATTGCTGCAGTATTAATTTAGGTCAGCTTGCTCACAGTAATTATAATAATAAAGAATAGGTATGTCAGATTCTGAATGTGTGTTCCCGTGCTACATATGTCAGTGGGCATGTTTCTGTACCATTTGGTACACTTTGTCTGGCCTTGTGTTCTTAGCATGAGTTCTTACAAACACGCTTATTGGCATAATATGTAGTGGGAAGAGAGGTGGAAATACATTCAGCTGCAAATGGGATTAATTTTATTTTAACATTGTTCCAACATAATATGAATTATATTGTAATATGCTGCTCAATCTATTTTAAAATATTCTGTAAGTATGAGGCTCTTGTGGGAGAAAGTGTTACTCACCAAATTCTGGGGTTAGAATGGGAAGTTCAATCTAGAAATAGTCTTTTAAAACTGATTATTTTTAGGACACTATTTAAAAGGCTTTAATGTGGCCTGCTCAGATGAATGCCATATAGTAGGCTGTAGAATGACTCAAATGTATTGATGGCAGCTTGATTAAGGTTCCAGGATAAGCTGTCTACATCGGTAACATCCACTGACAGCCACCATGGGCCCTGGAGCAAGGTGTGGGGGCTAGCTCCACATCCTGGAAGGCGTGGGGCTGAGGGCAGAAGGGGTGGGGTTGAGGGCAGTCAGCCCCATAGTGTAGCCCAGACTGCAGCGCACACGCCTCCATGCCCCAGCTCTCAGACACTCGTGGAGCGCCCGGCGTGGCATGCTGGCAGCAATTCAGAAGGACCTGGGCCAGTGTTCCCTCTAAGATTTTCCATTCGTGAGCAGAGTGAGTTTTGCCTTGTGCACCAATATTGATGTTGTGTGTGCTTCTTTGGATGTGTGCCACCCTTGCACCCACAAGTTACTAACAAAATTTGTATATAAATTTAAATTATGTAAGAAAAATACTAAAACGGGATAATTAACAAGGTTCTATGATTCTAAGGTGCATGACTCTGCACCTACCCACCCTGAAAACCACCCAGCTTGGCACCTAGCCTTGCTCCCACCGTTACTGCATCCGTGGGTTCCCCAACCCCTACACTCCCAACCTGTGCACCCTTTACCACTAACCCTGCATTATGTCCCCTTCGTCCCTAACTTCTGCACAGTGCCCCTTTCATCCCAGCCCCTGCACTTTTCTCCCAGCTGTGCCTCCAACCCCCACCCTGTGCTTCCAGCATGTCCTGCCATGATGCCCCCTGCCCAGTATCCTCCTCCCCCTTTGCCCAGCAATACCCATGCCCAGGTGTCCTTTGCTGTCTGGCTATGGCACCCTGGGGATGAGCCCAGTTTGCCCAGCCCTAGGGCCGGCCCTGCGACAGGGCAGCTGATCACCATGTGACTCTGGCCCAAGCTCTCGCTGCCACTCCCCACATGGCAGCTCCGGCTGTGGCTGCTGAAGCTGCTGCTGCCACCTGCTAC